GGACGGCGTGGGCGTGGAGACGACGATGTCCGAGTAGTCGGGGCACAGCAGCTCCGTCCGCACCGCCCGCATATCGCTCTGGGCGAACTTCTTGGGGGACTCGCAGATGACCTGGTCCACCAGGACGCCGGTGTTGAGCTGCTCCAGCCACAGCTTCATGCCCACCACGTCGCAGGTGCAGTCCCAGGGGTTCTCGTGCAGGTCGATCTGCAACAGGGATTTCAGCTGGTCCAGTACCCCGCTCACCGGCAGGTAGGAGAAGTGGTTGCTGCGCAGGCTCAGCCTGTAGAGAGACAGACCGGAAAAAATGTTCCCGGGCAAAGATCTCAGCAGATTGTTGTTCAAAAACAAGAGCTGGAGGTTAGGAACGGGTTCAAAGGTGCCTGCCTCTATCTCCCGGATAACATTGTACTGCAGGAAGAGGTACTGCAGGCTCTGCAGCCCATAGAACAGCTCTGGGCTCAGCTTCTCAATCCGGTTCCCATTCAGATACAGTCTTCGCAAGTTAGTTAAATCCCCAAAAGCCCGATCCTGAATAACTGAGATACGATTATTGCCCAGATGCAGCAAATCCAGCCCAGTGGCATCCACAAAATCTGCCCTGCGCACTAGAGCGATGTAGTTTTCTGTCAGATACATCTTCTTAGGATTATAGGGTTTGGGCTGCAGTTCGGATATGCTCTCAATCTTCCTCTCCTGACAGTTGACGTTGAGACCCAGGTCAGAAATCTGCAAGTTGCAAGTGCAGGCAGTGGGGCACTCCAAAGGCACCGGGGATTTGGTCTGGTAGGCGATGCTGGGGCCGTAGTTGCTGTATCCCAGGTCTTTTGAGGGCAGGCGGGAGGTGGGACGCACCCTGGTCTTGTTGGGTTGGCGGGTCCCCTTAGGGGGTTTCAAAGGGGATTTGTAAACAGCTGAAGAAGAAGTGGCCACAGAGTTCACTGAGGCGGGGGTAGTGTGGAAATACCCAGTGGTGCTCAGCGGTGTTTGTGGTCTCATTTCATAATCCGAGATGAGTCTCCTGGGGCAAAGCTCCTGCTTGGAGACCTCATCTAAGTCTCGACCATGTAAGCGGAAAGGGGTCTCACAAACCACATCTCCCACCAGAGCAGAGTAGGAGATACTGTCCAGCCAATCCTTTAGAGCAATCAACTCGCAAGAGCAATTCCAGGGGTTTTCCTCCAGCTGCAGCTCCACTACTTTATCCATGTGCTGCAAAAGGCCCACATAGGGCAACAGCTTCAGCCGGTTACCCCTCAAGTCCAGGTGAGTTAAGGGCACAAAACGGAAAAGGTTGTTGGGCAAACTGGAGAGGAGGTTATCATTGAGAATCAGTACCTGCAGCAAATGCAGTTTGCTGAAGGCATTGGGTTCAATGACACTAATATAATTATAATCGACTTGTAGATACTCCAAACTCTCTAGCCCAAGGAAAGTGTCATCCCGTAAAAGTTCCAGCTTGTTGTTGTTCAGGTGCAGCCTCCTTAAACCTCTCAGACCATGAAAGGCCCCCGTTTCGATGTCTTGTATGTCGTTGCTCCCTAGGTGCAAAATCGAAGCCCCGGTGTAATTGACAAACTGGTTAGGGTACAGCCTGTTCAAAAGGTTCCCCGACAACAAGAGGTGGTACACAGGGAACCTCGGTGGACTAATCTCAAAAAGGCTGATGATCCCTCTGTTTTCACAGCTCACTGTTAAGATACTGTCCTTCTCCTCACAAGGACACGCATTATCACAGATTTCCCCATAATACTCGATGCTTTCTGCCCACGAAAGGACTAGCGATGTTAAAGCAAACGCGATCGTCTGCAGCATCCAGATATGCATTTTTTTGTTGAGGTCCTGTTCCAAAGTTACTGTAGAGCAGCAAGCGTACATTTTATTTCCTGTAGGGGCAAGAAGAAAAAAGAAAGTAACAAAATAGCATAACACTGTAAAATTTAAAACGGACACAAAGTTTATAAATATCTTTAGTGGGGTAGCAATCGGATTGTTAATCAAACAAAGAAAACTCCTGTCACTTCTAATTCCCACACTTCTGAAAACTGGACGACATGCATTGATTAAAAGGTTGATGGGCATCTCCTAGTGAGTTAAATGCCTGTGCTGTTTAAAAACGTGAGGCCACAAGAGAAACTATTCTGGTTCTATTCATATGTGGTACATTTCAATGTTTTATTGGATTTCTTTTTCACAACCAGCCCCATAAATATACATAAAATGGCTGTCAGTTCAGTTTCACGGTTCTAATTTAAGAGAAAAGAAGCACCATTTTACGAGGTTTCCCACCTCCCCTATTACCCAGCTCCCCCTTCCCTTCAGAACCTCCTCAGTGAACAGCGCACTAAGGCCTTTCCCTATTTTCACAGAGCCAAAGCGCTACCTTGATTTTTAACCACTGATGGAAATGCCACAGTAGGAATCCAAAGAAAAATGCTCAGTGCTGAAAATTGCAGTTTAATTCAACAGAGAGAATACTGAGAGATTCTCCAAATCATCTGTGTCTTAGAACACATTATATACATATATATATACACACACACACATATATATGCATATACGAAGCACACATGCACACAGGCAAACAGGCACACACCCACACACCCACACACTGTAGAGGACTTTTGTGGTGGTATTATTCAGTAAGGAAATTAAATACATGCACATCCTACTTCAATACACTTAATAGCTCTATTCAGTGAGAGGAATTTTATATCTTTATACAAGTAAATCATCTTAATTGATTTTATCATTCCCAGAATGAGTTATGTACAATGTAGCAGAGCTCACTATCAAAGCAGAGGTCTTCAGTTCTTACACACACACACACACAGGCACACACATTCTCACACTTGAAGGGAAGGTTTGAACCACTCACCCAAAATTTGTGAAAAATGTAAAACATGCGGATCATCTTCGCAGTCTCAGCCATATCTGACATACCGTTTATTCCCAACGTTCTGTAAAACTAGCCTCGTAGAAGTAGAGAGATCTAAATAGGTCTCATGGAAATATCTCATCGCCAATACTCCAAGCATCAGAGTAACTGATTATAAGCAGCGATGGCTGTCAGTGCTCTTCATCCTTTAGGGGAGAAGACACCCAGGCTCATTAAAAGCCAGCGGGGATGGGGGGAAACCCTACCATTGACCTACGTCAGTGATTTAATACCCAAATTTCATCTAGCTGGAAACAAATCCAATTTCCATTCCTCCTTGCAGTCTTTCTGACTCCTTGTGGTTTTCTTCTACTTCTACTAGTCTAAAAGCAACATGAATAGGGAAAATATATGCATTCTGTGTGTCAGTAGGGGAAGACTAATAAATCATTCGGGCTTAAATGCTGGGTTCCTGGGGCAGGCTCGCATTTTCTATCGTCCACCTCAGAGCTCCAGTCCTCATGCCACAACTCTGGTTTGGAGGAACATATCCTAAAAAATGGCAAGTCTCTGTACTGCAAGACATCTCCTGTGGCATCAGGTTCAAGGCTGCAAATCTAGCACTTGCAGCAAAGGCAGTCATGCAGCAAGAAATCGGAAGTCTCGGCGAATCTCTCTCTAATTCTCACCAGACGTCAACTGGATCGGAATTACTCAAAGCAAAAGGCTTCACTGCATAAAAGCAGCAGAAATCTTACTCAAAGGCATGTATCTAGCATATTCTTTCTCAGCTCGATCAGATCCATTCATCCATTAACCGACAGTTCTTCGGAGGAAAAAAAAAAGCCGTTGAAAACCCACCCGGTCAGTGTTAAACTCCCAGGCATTTTACAACTTTGATTCAATTATGATTAGTAAAGGAGAAAAATGCAACCATCTCTCCCTCCTCCTTCCTCCCTTTCCCTGGGAAAAAAAAAAAAAAATAAGGGGGAGGGGAGAAATACAGAAAATAAAGTTGTAGCTGGCTATATGCAAGGTTGCAATCCCGCCCTGGAAACCCCTCTGTGATGACTGTGTGCTGCTGTTCGCCAGCTCCCTACAGAGGTTCTTATGGGGGGGGGAAGAGGGGAAGGGGGAGATGCGGAGCGAGGTTGCATTGGGATTTTTCTTGCATGTGT